ACAAGTAAAGCAAAAATTACAACTTGTTTTTCATTTTCTTTCTTTATCTTTGCTTAAATTAAGTGAAATCCATATTTAGAATTATCTTTTATGCAAATAATTAATATTTAGTATTAATATTTTATGTAAATAATTATAGTAATATTAATATTTTTCATAAAAGAAATTATTTCACATTTGAAATATATGGACTCCTCACACCAAATAGTAATGGTCCAATACATTCCGCAAATAGTGTTATACATTCACAACCTGTTAGATATTGTAAACATGCAATACTTAGATTATAATATATATATATACTAGTAAAAACATTTATTTTCATTGTTTTGATGAAAAAACCCTTAATTAATTAATTAAAGTTATTGTATATTAAATATAAATTTCTAAATAACGACATAAGTGAAGTTATTATATGTACAGTAAAAATAAATTTATTACTAGGAAGGGAAATAATTAGAATTGCTTATTTGCACATTTTTTTATATCTTGTATGGTTGGACTGATGTTGTTATATTATCGTCTTTATAAAACATCTTACTACTTCGTAAATCTTGTAAGCACTATTGAAGAGCTATTACTGGGGAAATCCAGATAGTAGCTTGGAAGGATGGAAAATGGGAGTTATAGTAAAACAAAAGGTTAGGTTTGGTATATAATACCATAACATCATACTAAGAGCTGGAATGCCAAATTCAAGGACAGTTTTGCTCCATTGATGTATAGTACTCTAATTATTATTATTTTTATCATTTTTTGAACTTTCAACTATATGTAATAAGTGAGCAACCACCTTCCCATTTCTGGCTGCAGACAGCGAAAGATGGTAAATATATGGGACGTTGTGGGCTTCAGCACCCACATCTGATCTTTTCTCTCTTCCTTCTTTTTTCATTTTCTTTTTGAAAGCATGTGAATCTAGTGGAATATAGTTTAAACCAGGTAGACAAGATACATTATATAATGATCCACCTTATGGTTTGAGCCCAGGTGTTCGATGTTTATTTTTGACATTTGCAAAATCACTGACAGTATTTTTTCAATAGAGTTGATTGCAAACAACATACAAAAACCATTAAAAGTACTCAATATGGAAAATGCTATATGAATAGCAAAATTTAGAATAGAACGGATTTTACTCTGAAAGCAATTATATTTGTAGCTTGTTACGTCACCGTTAGAGATGATGAATGTCGACGATGAAAGATTATGTGATTGGCCTGGTAGATTAACAGTGTATAACATTGGGATTCATGATTGAAAGATTATGTGATTGGCCTGGTAGATTAAAAGTGTATAACAATGGGATTCATGATTGAAAGATTATGTGATTGGCCTGGTATATTAACAGTGTATAACATTGGGATTCATGATTGAAAGATTATGTGATTGGCCTGGTAGATTAAAAGTGTATAACATTGGGATTCATGATTGAAAGATTATGTAATTGGTCTGGTAGATTAACAGTGTATAACATTGGGATTCATGATTGAAAGATTATGTGATTGGTCTGGTATATTTACAGTGTATAACATTGGGATTCATGATTGAAAGATTATGTGATTGGTCTGGTATATTTGTATAACATTGGGATTCGTGATTGAAAGATTATG